AGTTCTAAACTGTTCTTCCTAGAGGTCCAGTAAGGATCATCTCTTATTGATCCAGTGATACTACAGGAGGAAACCTAAACTAAACTAACTTTATTTATACTGGATAGCTCTATCAGTTCTAAACTATTCTCCCTAGAGGTCCAGTAAGGGTCATCTCTTATTGATCCAGTGTTACTACAGAAGGAAACCTAAACTAACTTTATTTATACTGGATAGCTCTATCAGTTCTAAACTGTTCTCTCTAGAGGTCCAGCAAGAATCATCTCTTATTGATCCAGTGTTACTACAGGAGGAAACCTAAACTAACTTTATTTATATTAGATAGCTCTATCAGTTCTCGTGTGAGCTGGACAGTGTGTGTAATCGACATTAAATAAATAAATATATAAAGATTCAACTCACCAACTTGCTCATCTTTGATCGAATTAGACGAAGCATACTTGGCTCTGACCATAGCTGCATTAATAAATACATCATTATCGCCACTAACATCATAAAGATTCAGCCTCAATACAGGTCCCAGGTTGGGCAAGCTGCACTCTCCGCCTTGCGAATAATTCACAATGTTATTTAACATCGCGGAATCCCACGGAACAACATAACCGATCAATTTTTGAGCATTTAGAGTCAGTGTTTTAAAATATTCTGTGGCATTTTCGGACCAGCTTGGTATCAGGCTGATCTCTTCGACGCCCGACCAAATTTTTTCAAAAAGTTCTACCGCGGTGTCGGAAAATAACGACTGTTCTTGGTGGCTCTTCGCGATGTCATCGGAAATCGACGAACGTAACCGATCTCTGTGATCGTGTTTTTCAATATCGGGGAGTAGTCCCAAAAGGTCCATATCTCCGTTGGGTATTTCGTCCTCGGAATCTTCGTCTCCGGCCGCTATAACTATCGCTTTCGTATGTGCTGCTGTTTTGTTCCTACGTGGCCGTTGCCTTGACAACCTGCTTTTGCTGTCATCTTCTGACGTCAAATCTAAGAATAACCATATGTTCATACATTGCTTTCAAAAGTACACATGTAAAAATCGCACAACTTGTCAACAAGATGCGTTCGCAACAGGCTTATAGCAAGCTTGTCAACAAGTAGTAACAATGCTGTTATTTTATCAAGTTGCTACAAGGTTGTCACTCACAACTTGTTGACAAATTGTTGAATTGCAAGACGATAATAACAAGTTGTTGGGACAACTTGTAACAAGTCTGTAATTGAGCTCAATAATCTTGTAGCAAGTTGTCAACAAGCTGGGAACAAGCAGTGCGAACACATCCTGTTGACAAGTTGTTGGAACAGCATTGCTACAAGTCTGCTGGGCATTTGTTACAACTTGTGCGTTTTTACGAGTGTAGGACTATATTAAGTAAGTATATTACAAGGTTGACGACACAAGGTTGTAACAATATTGTTATATCATGACTGTATCGGACTTGTTGGAACAACCTTGCTACAAGTCTGATAATATCAACAAGCTTCTTACAAGCTGTTGACAACTTATATACAATATTGTTATATCATGACTGTATCGGACTTGTTGGAACAACCTTGCAACAAGTCTGATAATATCAACAAGCTTCTTACAAGCTGTTGACAACTTATATACAATATTGTTATATCATGACTGTATCGGACTTGTTGGAACAACCTTGCAACAAGTCTGATAATATCAACAAGCTCGTTACAACTGTTAACAAGTTGTTGCAAACTTGTTGACAAATTGGGACAAGCTGTGCGAACACAACTTATTGACGGCTTGTTGGCAGAGAGTGGTTCAACCATAACGATATTAATAAGTGGTTTAATATGCAATTTAAGGTACAGACACACCGGACGCGATTCGACAACGTGACGCGATTTTTTAGTTTTTGAAAGTTAATAAAACAGCCAATGAGAGCAAATTTTAAAAGATATGTAGACCAAATAACTCAAAATGTTATAACGCTTCTAAGTATTTGGAAAGTTTAAACTAGGTGTGTCTGGGCCCTTAATATACAAACGAATTTATAATATAGCATTGAAAACTCACCTTCATAAAAAACATCGCAATCTAACTCTTGTTTAATGCTTGGATTCACATCAGCCAATGAACAGCGGACAACTTGAGCTGGTATTGACATAAATTGCGGTAATAATTCTCTGAGATCTCCAACATTCACTTCTTCGACATTTCCAAAATCAATATAGAACACTTCCACTGTTAAACCATTCTCGCTCGAGTCTCCCGAGCAGCGCACCTGTAAGACAAGACCTCGGTACCAGTTCCCGTCTGCTGAAAATTTGGCGCAACAAAAATCACCAACCCGTGGTGAAAAGCTGTCAGAATCCAGAGACTCCAGATCTGTGAAAGGAAGGTTGAAGATTAAATTTGGTCTGAACTAAGGTCACATACGCACGCAAAAATCTCACATCTTGTAGCCGTTAACAAGACGTAGTCTGCCAACAAGCCGTCAACAAGTTGTGTTCCCTCAGCGTGTCCCAAGTTGTCAACAAGTATAACAAGCTGTTAACAAGATTGTTGACATTATCAGACTCGCAGCAAGGTTGTTCCAACAAGTCCGACATAGTCATGATATAACAATATTGTATACAAGTTGTTAACAGTTGTAACAAGCTTGTTGATATTATCAGACTGGTAGCAAGATTGTTCCAACAAGTCCGATACAGTCATGATATAACAATATTGTATTCAAGTTGTTAACAGCTTGTAACAAGCTTGTTGATATTATCAGACTTGTAGCAAGATTATTCCAACAAGTCTCATACAGTTACGATATAACAATATTGCATTCACGTTGTTAACAGCTTGTAACAAGCTTGTTGATATTATCATACTTGTAGGAAGATTGTTTCAACAAGTCCGATACAGTTATGATACAACAATATTGTACAAGTTGTTTAAACAGCTTGTAACAAGCTTGTTGATATTATCAGGCTTGTGGCAAAGGTTGTTCCAACAAGTCTGATACAGTCATGATATAACAATATTGTATTCAAGTTGTTAACAGCTTGTAACAAGCTTGTTGATATTATCTGACTTGTAGCAAGGTTGTTTCAACAAGTCCGATACAGTCATGATATAACAATATTGTACAAGTTGTTTAACAAGCTTGTAACAAGCTCGTTGATATTATCAGACTTGTAGCAAGGTTGTTTCAACAAATCCGATACAGTCATGATATAACAATATTGTACAAGTTGTTTAAACAGCTTGTAACAAGCTTCTTGATATTATCAGGCTTGTAGCAAGGTTGTTCCATTAAGTCTGATACAGTCATGATATAACAATATTGTATTCAAGTTGTTAACAGCTTGTAACAAGCTTGTTGATATTATCAGACCTGTAGCAAGGTTGTTTCAACAAGTCCGACACAGTCATGATATAATAATATTGTACAAGTTGATTAAACAGCTTGTAACAAGCTTGTCGATATTATCAGACTTGTAGCAAGATTGTTCCAACAAGTCCGATACAGTCATGATATAACAATATTAGGGCCATTTATACGTGACAAAATAAGTCGCGACTTACATAAGACGCGACTTAAATAAGTGGAGTTATCGCATAAATGGTTCTCTACGGCTTTGGTCTTATTTATTTGCTATAGCTATAATGTTGTTTTGGTT